TTGGGGTCGTTGATAGGGCAGAAAGGTGCGCCCAACTCCGGCGAACACAACGCCGGAATTCGCTCCGGGAAATACGCCGCCACGCGCCGCCACCGTCACCGGCGCGTGTAGCCCACACGCCTAGCTCCGGCGAGACCCACTCGCCGCCGCCGCCACAGAAAGAGTCGCCAGAGCCTCCTGAGTCCATTCCACGGGCTGGCGACGTCCCATTTGGCGCATATTTGAGTAGATCCCAGTTTTTGAGTTTTGTTCCTTTTCCGGTGACGTCCCACGCGCCTAGCTCCGACGAGACCCACTCGCCGCTGCTGTCACAGAACTGGTTGCCGGAGTCTCCTAAGTCCGTTCCACGGCCCACTCATCGTTGTTGCCATAGACAAAGTCGCCGAATCAATCCATTAAGTTACTACCATCAGATTTTTTGAGATGAAAGCTTTTAAAGAGGAACTAGATCGTTTGAAAGGAATGATTGAATCAATAAGTAAGCCCTCTGGACCATGTACTCTGTCCATGAAAGGTAAGAGTTCTCTCCATACTGTGGGTCCTGTGTCTCAAGGTATTTGGATTCTTGATTCAGGAGCAACTGATCATATGACACCTTTTCGTATGATCTTCAAATCATATATTCAAAGGAATAGAGAACAACTTATTACAGTTGCGAATGGTCAAGGTGTACCCATATGCGGCTCTGGGAATATAATTTTGGAATCATCTATTGTATTAAAGGATGTTTTACATGTTCCACAATTAGCCAATAATCTTATCTCTGTGCAAAAGCTCACAAAAGATTTAAATTGTTCAGTAACATTTTTCTCAACTCATTGTGTTTTTCAGGACCTTGCTACGGGGAAGACAATTTTAACTGCTAAAGAGCAGAGTGGGTTGTATTTGTTGGAATCTGATGATCAAAACAAAACAAAAATCATGAGTCAACAAGCTACATCTGAAACGTGGGCAAATTCCCAAATATGGCTACATCATAAAAGGCTTGGGCATCCTTCATTCAACCTTCTTAAATCCTTATTTCCTCATTTGTTTACTAAGGAGTCTATTGAGTCTTTTAATTGTGATATTTGTCAATTGTCAAAACACCATCGTGCATCCTATCCTATTAGTAATAAAAAGAGTACTTCTCCATTTGATTTAATTCACTCTGATGTTTGGGGACCTGTCGTAGAATCTATTTCCGGAGCTAGATGGTTTGTTACCTTTATTGACGATTGTACCCGTGTCACATGGACATACCTTATGAAAAATAAATCAGAAGTTTTCCAAATCTTTGTTAATTTTTTCCGTCTGGTCCAAAATCAATTTGGAAAAAATATCAAAAGAATCAGGTCTGATAATGGTACTGAATATGTGAATCATGAATTTCTTAATTTTTTGTCTCATAATGGTATTGTTCATGAACTAACATGTGTAAACACCCCTCAACAAAACGGGGTTGCAGAAAGAAAGAATCGTCATCTTCTAGAAGTAACTAGAGCTCTTCTTTTTCAAATGTCTGTTCCAAAAAATTACTGGGGAGAAGCTGTGTTAACCGCCACATATCTCATCAACAGGTTACCCACCCGTATCTTAAATGGCATTAGTCCTATAGAGTCTCTATTGTCTTTTGTTCCCTCTTGCCCTCTAATATCGAGTCTACCTAGTCGAGTCTTTGGATGTACTGTTTTTGTTCACTCTCATCATCCTAATCGTAGTAAATTAGATCCCAAAGCTCTTAAATGTGTCTTTATTGGGTATCCTTCTAATAAAAAAGGGTACAAATGTTATCATCCTCAGAGTCGTCGCGTCTTTATCACCATGGATGTCACCTTTCAGGAAACACAATCCTTTTATGCCAGTCCACCACTTCAGGGGGAGAAAGCACTTGAAGTGGAGGAGCTCTCCTTCTTGTCATTACCATATTTGTCTTTGCAGGATGCCCAAGATCTAAGCAATGAAGCTACCATGGTCCACAATGAGGAAGAAGCGGAAGAAGAGGAAGACAAATTTTTTGGCAAAAAATATGAAAGAAGAAAACAACCCACTTCGACTCTCGAGCAAGAAAAATTGTCTAATCCGGAGGTGAGGATCCCTGAAGATAACAGTGAGGAGGTAAGTATTACTGAGGACTTACCCATTGCATTGAGAAAGGAAAGAAGATCATGTGCTAAATATCCTATTTCTCAGTATGTTTGCACTAACAATCTCTCTGATAAGCACAGAAGCTTTATTGCTGCCATTGATGCCACAGAAATTCCTACCTCAATCCAGGAGGCCATGAAACTTGAACATTGGACTCAAGCCATGAAAGAAGAGATGAATGCATTAGAAAGAAATTCAACTTGGGAGATTGTTGATAAGCCAAGAGACAAGAAGGCAGTAGGGTGTAGATGGATATTCACAGTGAAACATAAGGCAGATGGGACAATAGAAAGATATAAAGCTAGATTGGTGGCAAAAGGCTATACCCAAACTTATGGGATTGACTATGAGGAGACGTTTGCCCCAGTGGCAAAGATGAATACAGTTCGAGTTGTTCTCGCTTTGGCTGCTCATTTTGGTTGGGACTTACACCAGTTGGATGTGAAGAATGCCTTTCTTCATGGAAATCTAGAAGAGGAAGTGTACATGGAGATTCCCCCAGGTTTTGAAGTGAAAAATGAAAGAAACAAGGTATGCCTCCTAAAGAAAGCATTGTATGGTCTTAAGCAATCCCCTAGAGCATGGTTTGGAAGATTTACAAAAGTAATGGTTTCCTTGGGATACAGACAAAGCCAAGGAGATCATACTCTATTCATAAAACACTCTTCTACAGGTAAACTCACTCTATTGCTTGTCTATGTGGATGATATGATTATTGCAGGAGATGATGAAACAGAGAAATTGGCATTAAAAGAAAAATTGGCAGCCCAATTTGAAATGAAAGACCTAGGAAAACTCAAGTATTTTCTTGGAATAGAGGTTGCTTATTCCAAAAATGGAATTTTCATCTCCCAAAGGAAATATGTACTTGATCTCCTCAAAGAAACAGGGAAGCTGGGATGTAGAACCTCAACAGTTCCTATAGAACAAAATCACAGAATTGGAAGTGAAGAAAGTGCTCCTGTAGAGAAGGCCCAATATCAGAGATTGGTAGGGAAATTGATTTATCTATCACACACAAGACCAGACATTGCTTATGCAGTTAGTGTTGTGAGCCAATTTATGCATGATCCAAGAGAGAGACACATGCAAGCAGTTGACAAAATTCTCCAGTACTTGAAGTCAAGTCCAGGAAAGGGGTTATTGTTCAAAAGGGAAGATACATTGACTATGAAAATATATACTGATGCTGACTATGCAGGTTCTATTACTGACAGAAAATCTACTTCTGGGTATTGTATGTTTCTTGGAGATAGTCTCGTAACGTGGAGGAGCAAAAAGCAAGATAGAGTATCTCGTTCTAGTGCAGAAGCTGAATTCCGAGCCCTTGCTCAAGGAATGTGTGAAGGACTCTGGATGAAAATCATTTTGGATGACCTTAAAATCAAGGTGGACAACCCCGTGCAACTATACTGTGACAATAAGTCTGCCATGAGCATTGCCCATAATCCAGTACAACATGATAGGACCAAACACATTGAGATTGACAGACATTTCATCAAAGATAATCTAGACAGAGGCTTTGTGATTACAACTCATGTTCCTACAGAACTTCAGATAGCAGATATTTTTACAAAAGGGCTCCCTCCGGGTAGATTTCAAGATCTTGTAGGCAAGTTGGGAATGATTGATATTCATTTACCAACTTGAGGGGGAGTGTTGTAATTAGAGGAAAAATCTTCCTAATTAGAGAAAATATCTATAGAATCTTCTAGGATATTTTTCAGAATATTTTTCCTTATTTCCTTATTTTAGAAGATTAGATTGTTACAAATAGGTATAAGGAAAATGTAATATGTATGAATAATAATAATAAAATTATTCTCCTTTTCAAGTGATATTTTAGGTCAAAATATTTATATATAAAATTGCCAAGGTGTGGTGTTAGTAGCAAATGAGTTGTTTCTGAAAATTTACTGAAGTCCTTTTACTAATTCTAATTATTTTATGCATTTATCATTAATACTAATTATTATTTTGTTAATTATACACTTACTTTCACCTAACTACTAATTATTTTATGCATTTCTCATGAAATTAAAGAGAATAAACAACAGAGGAAAAACATAGATGGGTATGATAGGAAATCAGATAATTTTAATAAAAATGAGAACATTATTATACTTATTAATTCACGTGCCACAACCTTAAAAGAAACTTGACTTTGAACGGACTGGCTTGCTATAATAGGTTTCTCTATTTCTTGCTTTCTTACTCCTTTAGTTTCTCTTATACCAGGCACAACTATTTGAATGACTTACCTTCCTTGGACCCAGAATTATATCGTCATCTCATGTTTCTCAAGGTAATGTTGCGTCTGTCTTTGTGGCTTCCATCTATTTGCATCTGCCTCAGTCTTAAAGCAACTCTTTAATTTCAATATAATATTGACAAACAATAAATTTGCAACTTAAATGTCTCCTTAAATATTCTGACTTTATTTACTCATAATTCCTTCTGAATATTGATTTCTTGATTCTGTAATCTTTCCTTGAAAAATCTATTATGAGCTCGTAGTTTTTTTTTTTCCCTCTTGTTTTGTTTTTTTCCTAGTTACCATTTTTTGTCTGTACTGCATTTAAATGCTGTGGTAGTCATGTGAAATATATCCCGTGCTTTTGCATTACAGTTAATAGTATTCATGCATGGCTGGGGTTGATGTGTAGTTTGTAAAGATGGTATATTTCTTTGTGGTACATCTGCTTTTTTCCTTATTGGCTCAATTTTTGCCCCTCCAATCTGTTTTGACTTACAGCATTATAAAGGTGACATTTCGGAGTTGGAACTATACTTTGTTATAGTAAATAATGAATATGGAGAACAAACAGAGGAGGAATTGCTTCCTGGAGGAAGGAACCTACGTGTCACTAATGAGAATGTCATTACTTTTATTCATCTTGTAGCTAATCACCGCCTGAATTTTCAGGTGAAGTTTTTTTTTTTAATGGACTGCATCTTGTACTACAAATCAATCCATGTTTCAATTACATAATAAAATAATTATGCTTTCAGATACGCCAACAAAGTTCACATTTCTTGAGGGGATTTCAGCAACTTATTCAGC